AATACTTCAGACCTGCTGTCATATATCGCCGTTAATATATGCCTTTTAACCATACCTTTGGTATTGTCAAAAAATTACATTCAAGTAAAAATGGAAATAAGGCCTTTTGAAAAATCACTCCTCAAATATATACCTATCTGACATTCTTGTAGATTGGTTATTTTTTCTGCATTTTAATTACTTAATATATTAAGTAATTACAATGTAGCTAACACAGAGTAGAACACAGCCCTGTTGAAAATGGCCAGTAGAAACATATAGAATCCGTACAGTGTTTCTATATGTTTTTATAGTTTGTTATATGACACTATGGATTCAATATGTAATCAGTATTATGAACTGTATGTGTTTATATGGTTTTATATGACAGAAATTTATATGAAAATCCATCTTAAATCATATATGAATGAATATGAATTTATAGGTAATAAATTGTATATGGTCAGTTTTTTATATGCCTGTGTAGAAATGAATATGAATATGGTCTTATATGTAATGTCTGTTTCAAAAATCATATAGTATCATATTGGAACCAGCAGGGATTTTTCATATATGATTTTATATGTCATTTACAACAGGGAGTCTACTCTGTGGTAGCTAATGTTTTTATTACAAATGGATATTATTAATTGCAGAAAAAATAACCAATCTACAAGAATGTCAGATATATATTTATTTAAGGTATACCTTAAAAACGTTCTGGCGATGTAGCAATGCATAACCAAGACTTTTTCACTAGGTACCCAGTAAACACAGGATTCGCGGGCCAGAGATGGCGAGAATACTTTTTTCCGAACTGCCGGATTCGGCCCGAAACATGGTTGCCGGCGCGGCGTGTAGGTAGGGCATGTCCGCCTGGCAGACTTTCTGCCGACTTACCGTAAAGCCGAGTCATTAGCGGGTATCAGCTAGTGGGTTACTCGGTGGCCCGCCACCCGCTTCTGTGCTTTCGGCAAGGTTACGATACATTGCTTAATAAGTAAATTGCCCAGTACACACAGACTCGCGGGCCAGAGATGGCAAGAATACTTGTTTTCCAATCTGCCGGATTCTCCCGATATATGGATGCAGGCGCTGCATCAGCTAGTGGGTTACTCGGTGGACCACCACCCGCTTCTATGCTTTCGGCATGGCTGGCGTATATCATACGGCTAACGTTCGGTTTTGATACCTTTTGCCGTTTTCTAACCGACAATGGGCCACTTGTGGTTAGTAGGGAAGTGATAGGGAAACAATTAAAAAAAATATGGAAAAATATAAAAATCGATAAAAATATATTTCAACTTAACATGGTATTGCGCTACAAAAAGATAAAATAAAATAAAATTTAACAAAAATAAAATATCAACAAAACTACACTCTACTTCAGGTACCTCCTTTTCTATAACATTTATCTAAGAACCCTCCGAAAACCCATCAGTTTTGGGTAGTTCTTTAGGTATATTTAAGGGTATATTCTCGGGTATATTACTAGCTGTGTTGCTTGATATGTCTATACTATTAGAACAAGAAGGTTGGTCATTATTACTAGACACAGAACTTGTAGGTAATTGGAACGATGCATTATTTGTTAAATTGTCATCCGTTAATAAACAATCTTCAATTAAACATTTCATTTGTTCACTAAGCACACGACGTTTAAAAAATTGTGGCGTTTGCTTACTTTTTTAATAAAAGACATATAGACATAAAAATTCTTTTAAGAAATATCCTAATTCAAAAATAAACGATAAACCTGAAAATACCCTTAACAATTTGTTAATAACAAATACCTACCTAAGACTAACAGTGAAATGGCAAAATATGCAAAATATAATAAATTATGTTGGTTCAACTTACTCTTCACTTGATTCTGCCATTTTACAAACTATAATAAAACTTATAGAAAATTATAACCTAAAACTACACACAAAACTAGTTTGTCACAAAAAACACAATTTTCAAACAAAAACCGGCACCAAAACACGGTAAGTATATCGTTTATAGCACAATTCACAATGTGGATTGTGGTTTATAGTATATGGATAATTTATAAACTATTTTCTTTAAAGGAAAACAACATAACACTGTCCTGAATAATCCTTAAAAAGCTTTTCTGGAATATAACCTAACATTGAAACTTCGTTCACGTGGTTCAGCTAAACTACTAAAGTAAAGTGTTTGCGACCTCTATGATCTGTGTTTGAGACTACGAATGCCAAAGACTTAAAATGAGGAGAGAGGGTATCAGCGTACTTAACGAAGACGGCCCGAAAGTAGCAAATAATCCAGCCCGTTCATGGGCTATACTTTTTCGGATAGCATTCGGGCGCGAAGGGTGGATCCCGGTTACTGGTTTGCCGAAATCGGGCCGTATTTTAACCGAATTTGGAAAAATGCCTACTGGGGAGTTTGTATGCGGGCCGTAAGTGATCCGGACACGGCAAATTATGCCACCAGTCTCCCGATAGTGCCGAATGTTGGCCGAATGTTTCCCGAGAGTTCTGTGTTTACTGGGTAGTCTTTAACATCCCTTGCGGCCTTGAGTTAACGGTGAATTCACCGTTTGCGTGAATACACCGTTTATGTGCAGTGAATATACCGTCCATTTGTGACATTTGTAGACGGTAATTAAACGGTGAACTCACGCTGTTTTTGCGATAAATTCACGGTGATTTCACGGTTAATTCACGGTGATTTTACGGTAAATTCACGGTGAACTCAAGTTTGCAAAATCACCGCAAATTCACTGTAAAAGTACCGTAAATTTATCGTAAAATCACCGTGAATTCACTGTAAAAGCGCTGTGAGTTTACTGTCAAAACACCGTAAATTGACTGTGAAAACACCGCAAATTGTAAGTGTAAGAACAATCTGCTAATTGGTTATTCCCAATACAATACAAATATCGCAAGAGAGCTCTCGTGTAGCTGCGCAAAATCAACGAGGTTGAGACGCCATCATAAAGAAAAAAACAACAAGTTGTACGCCATTTATTAGCGTTTTTTTTATTAGTCGATTTCTGTGTTAAGCGGTTTAAGAAATACATCTCACGGCTGCTTACGCAAGCGAGCTAACTATAAATAGCGTTGGGTTGCAATATTTAGTTGGAAGTCTGCGTCTGTAATGGCATAGCTCAACATTAATTGTTTGAAGTCCCCATCTCCATCATCATCTGCTTAGTAACGAATAATGGCTAGCTATAGTCGATTGTGTTATTATTATTGGTTTATTCACCGTGAATTCACTGTGAATTCACCGTGAATTCACTGTGAATTCACCGTGAATATACCGCTAAAATACGGTGGATTCACAATTAAAATACTGTCAAAAGTGCGTGAATTCACCGTCTAACTACCGTTTACAAATGTCACAACAGACGGTTTATTCACGGTGAATTCACAGTGAATGTACGGTGAATTCACTGTGAATAAACCGTAAACTCAAGGCCGCAAGGGATCTTAAAGACGTCTTAACAACGTTTAGCAACGACTTAATAATGCCGTTAAAAGGACATCTTAAAGACGGTGTGTTTTGTAACATTAGATATCTTAAAGACGTCTTAAAGATGACTTACGTCGTAAACTGGACGTCTTAGGGATGTCATAAACGTCCGAGTCCGAAATTTTAAGATATCTTTAAGATGTCTCTGTGCTATCTGGGAGGAATTATTAAAAATATTCGTTTGGTAGGTTTTAAAGAACGCTGAACTTAAAAATAGCAGTTTTTCCCATTTAAAGTTATGTATTGATTTTATTTAATTGTACTGTTTTGGTTTAGTTTTAGTCAAAATAAAATACGATGGTACCCAATTAGGTATATCTTACTATGAAGTCGCTGATTATGGGATATAATTTCGATTTTGACTTGTCAAAATTCACTATTTTATCAACAAAAAAAAAACGGCGGTATCAGGCATTTATAAGATGTTTTTAGAACATTAGATGAAGATATCTTTAAGACGACGTCTTTTTTAGATCCTAAGACGTTCAGGCATAATACAGACATATAAAAGACATCTTCAAGACTTTGTGTGCTATCTGGGTTTATACATACAAAAATACATAGGTATATATATATATATATATATATCTATATCGCATTATTTTATTAATTTTTTCTACTCAAACCTTTAAAACGCCCATTAACGTACATGTTTCCATGAGTCATGGACCATGACACTAAGTGACCTTTTAAATACAAATTGACAAGTTGTGGCTTTATAGCGTTTTAGTCACGGGATGAAGTTATAGCAACAGGTTTTTAGTCACGGGCTGAAGTTAGTAAAAATTGTGTAAATTTACTTAATTTTTTATAATTTAAAATTGTATACATCTAAACATTTTTGGCCAAGTTATCGCATTTTCAAGAAAAAATTTCACTCGTAAAGAGAAAAATCGATATATCTGTCCATTTTTCAAAAATTTACTACGGGCAAATAACATATTTAAGCAAAAATACAACATACGGGTCTCTTCGATTTTGGTAGAAAAACTGTAAAAAAATCGTTGAAAAATAACGACCTATGGTCGATTTGAAACATAAGCTATTTTCGCGGAGCTAATTAAAAGACTGTTAAAAAGTCTGAAATTACCATATTTGTACATATGTATATGAAAATTACAGTAAAACCCTATCCTTTTTCTATGATAAAACCTATGAAAACAAAATTTGTGGTCCTCGTACTCGCCAAGGGCGTCTAGGCAAAATAAGAGCAAGACAGCAGGGCCCAAGTAAAAATAATTACTTTTTCCCAATGAAAAATATATTTTTTTCTACAAAATTAATTTTAGGCTCATAAAAATGTCCTCTTAGGAAATAAACCAAAATTTCGCCATTTTAAGCTTTTAGGCAAAAACAAAGGGGTGTCAAACGCTTAATTTTTTTAAGTTTGGAATTAATTTTAAGGTCTCAAACAAATGCCTGAAATAAAAACAAAAAGGCATTTTGCCTAAAATCCGGTCCTTGATTATAACTTGTTTAATTTTGAGGAATAGGGTAAGATGTTGAAAATAAAACGATATATTGGTATTGAATATTTTATTCAATGCAAAATGTTTTACCAATATACAGCAGATAAACGTAACAGTGTAACAAAACATCTAACTAAACTTTGTAATGGCTACTGAATAAAAATTCTCAGAAAGGCTGCATTTATAAAGTTAATATTACTTTTAAAATAAAACATTACTCAATGCTATTTTGTAATAATATACAAATGGTTACAATTTTTTTCTATGAACTAGAACAAACATAAAAAATAATAAATTAATTACATAAATTATACAAACATACTAAAATTAAATAAAACTCATAAAACGCTCATATAATAAATATCAAGACATTATGTGCGCTAATAAACACATTTAAATTGTATGAAATTGTAAAAGTAGTCACAAATCTTTCATGTTTAAATTAACAACAGTTTATCGCACTGAACTTCACCCATTTTGATACTCAACCTACTTCTTATATTCTTCACTGAGCACGTTACAATTAGGTGTGTTATGGTGTGGTTCACAGAACCCAGCAGTCTTTCAGGTCTCATCCGTGATGGGGCAGACGACCGCCCACTTTTTTGTTTTACTTTTACTACTGCATCGGGAAAAGATATGCAACAAAAAATATATTTAAAGAAAAATTAATAAATGTTCTTGGCTACATTTCAAAGCGCACACCGGTGCGGTAATTTGTTGGCACTGGGATTCGAACTTCTAGGCAACGGTTCCGTTCACCAACGCTTCCTTCGGCGGCTTGGCGGCATCGTTGCGGCGGGACGCGGGCGGGCGAACGTTGTTGTTTCGGTTCTTCGATTCGCCGCCGACGTTGCCGACGCCTCTCGGCTTGTTAGACGTGTTGTTCTCTGTCACGTGCAAGCTGTTCTCGTTTACCGGACTCGCTTCGGTGATGTGACTGTTCACTAAAATATAAATTACCAGTTCATTTGGGATTCACAAACTCTCCAGCAAAAACAAAAACAATTGTATTATTGTAGTTTATTTTTATCAAGAAATATCAAATTTGTCAGTAATTACATAAAGTATAAATAAAAAAACATGATATTTACTGACAAATTTGATTTATACATATAAATCTGGCAAAGATGAGGATATTAAATTCTTAAAAGTTGATGACGTGAGCGCGCAACTTTTGATTATTACTACTTTTAATAACAGTATTTATTACAACTTATTATATATACAGTGTGTCCACGGATAGACTTAACTATACTTGTAAAAATATATATTTTCAATTTTTCGAAGAAGTCACTGTTCATTATTTCTTCTGCTTGTTACATAGATAGACTTAACTATACTTGTAAAAATATTTATTTTCAATTTTTCGAAGAAGTCACTGTTCATTATTTCTTCTGCTTGTTATATAAATACCATTCACGATGAGAAACTTATATTTTGTTATACAGGATGCGCAAACAAAATACAATTGTAGATTTTGCAAAATTAAAAATTGTTAAATATATTATTTTGAAGGTCTAAAATGAAGAGCTTGTAAGGAGAAACCAAAAAGCCAAATTATGTTTTTTCATGTGAGTTGTTGTTACTAATATATTTGTTATTAAAAATAAAATCAATTCAGGTCCTAACCTGAAATATAAATTACTAGTTCATTTGGGATTCACAAACTCTCCAGCAAAAACAAAAACAATTGTATTATTGTAGTTTATTTTTAAATCAATTAAAATGTTTTCTTATGATACTCATCGGCAAAAAAACGGGCCACCAGAAATTGGCAACAATTTTTTTTTGTTTACTCTTCCGTAACGATGCAGATATTTTTATTTCGATTTTTTTTTAGCACCTACATATGACAGTAAAAGTTTTCAAAGGTTGATAAAATACCTTTATCTCCACGCGGTCTATAATTTAAACTTTATTGTTGTCAACATTCGATAAAGAAATACCTTATTATGGCCTAGGCTGATAAAAAATTTTATGAGGCAAGTAATTAGTTCGATTTTTTCTCGATAGGGGTATTGTTTTGACAAATTAATCCTTTTCTAAGAAATTATATTATTATTATTATTATTATATTATTAAATAATAAACACTAATTTGTTAGTTTTACTGTTAATGTTTAATATTTTCATTAAATTATTGTAAAATTAAATATGAATAATAAAACAAAAAGTGAGGTTAGGAAATTGCAAATTGACGTTTCTGTGGATTTCAGTTGTTCTTTAGCTCGTTTTTAAAATGGATGAAAATAGCTGTACTATTTACTGTACACCACCTGAACTGGCAGAACTTTCCAATTCGGCTATTAATTCAGTTTTCCTAAAAAATCGAAACAATTATATGAAGATTCTTATCAGCGTTTTTTTTAAATTTTGTGAAGAGCAAAAGGCAGTGAACTTTTCTGAAAGTGTTTTGTGTTGTTTCAGTGAAATTAAATGTTAAACACATTCCAAACTACCCTTTTTTAAATAAAAATGCAAACAAATTGAAATTAGATACCTATTTATTAAACAATTAATTGAATTTCTAATATCACTTTTTAATGACATATATTCCTGAAATTACAGAATGAATTATTCTATCATCGGATGACGGAATAAACACTGGTGGCGACATCTTTGTGTTTAATATCTAAGAAATTTAGAACGATCCAACCTCACTTTCTCCAAAATAAATTACTTTTCTTTGGTATTTTTTGGAAACGTAGAAAAAGTAGTCTGAAACACGTATGGAATTGCATATTCCGCTCTCGTAAAATCGTCAAACTCGCCTTCGGCTCGTGTGAAAAACTTTTCACTCGAGCGGAATATGCCGTATTCCAAACATGTTACAGAATATACTATTTTCTACTCCTATAACAAAATATGACCGTTCTAATATAACTTTTTAATGAGGAATTACATATATTCCTTAAAGTGTTACAAAATGAATTATTCTATCACCGGATGACGGAATAACACATACTTTCACACATATACCGCTTATTCGCTATATTTTGTAGAGATAACCTTGTTCCCTTTTTTCAGGGTAAATTTGCTGATTTGCCGTATCATTTTGCATTATCGGCCATTTCAAGCGCGCGAAACGCACGAATTACAAAACTTTTTTTATAAAAAAAACTGTAGATAATTCATGTGTTCTATTGTTAATTTGATAAAAATACATACGTGGGTGGCATACGTTCTATTGTTAAAATCGGATTGACAGATTTAAATTGTGGCAAAAGAAAAATTATGCGAAAAAGTAAAGGTTTTAAAATCTCGAAGGTGTTCTGGCACTTATAATAATTAAATGAATTCTAAAAGGTATTTTTAATGGCACGGTTTTTAATTTTGAAAAAAGCTTGGCATATCTCAGAATGTGGAAATCATGTGTTCTATTGTTAATTTGACAAAAATACATACAAACAAAAGTGCAATAAATATTATTACGTATTGAAGTTATTATCTCGAAGGTGTTCTGGCTCGCACGTTGGCAGGTTAACATTTTGATAAAAAAAATACATAAGTATGTTCTATTGCGGAAAAAGTTTTCGGGGATATATAGCCAATTAGCCTATGAGCTAATAAAGGAAGAATATATTTGACAATTTTGATGCAAAAATAATATATAATAAATTACCTACAATTTTTTTTATAAAAACACTTTGATTTGTCCCGTTCCGTATGCTTGAAATGGCCGTCATGCGCATATTCAGTTCATAAGTGGGGGATTTAAAATATATGATACCTTAAGGTACGGTTTCGTTGATGCGACTCGCGGCTGCGGGTTGCGGCTGCGACCTTGGCCGCGCCACTGCTTAGTACAATTTGTGTGTATATGTTTTGGTTGGCGCGTTCAGGGCCGGCTTTATCTATTTTGTATATTAATATTTATATTTTTAAATTAAACTTGGAAAAAAAGTAAGAATGCAAAGATATAAATTAAATGAAAACGGTATAAACACTAATTTAACAATAAAATAAATAAAGAATATACAAGGTTGGTAGCCGGCACTCGGCAGGAGAAATATCCACCAAGGCAGAGGGCACTTACGGTGTGTCATGGCCGTCAACACTTCAATACGGAAGACAAGACTCAGTATCACACAGGGGGGCAAACAATTCTAAAGAGGTTACCAGGAACCTGATACTGACTCGGACAGGTTCTAGCAGCGTACTAACACTTCTACCCCCATTCATGAATCCCAATTGAATGGGGTTATTAGGTTGAGGAGGATTCCGGATTGTACTTAGTTTTGGGTCAGTTCAATGTCCTCCCAAAATCCTTCCTAAATTGGACCTAGGCTGACAAAAATCCGTGGAGCGGCCTTAACCATAGACACTGTCATAGACGACCTCCTAGGGTGGATCTACCAGCCGGCGTAAAAACTTCGGATCCAACAAACACAGGTAATGCTGTGATTTGGCGGGATACGCAGGAGGACGGAAAGGGGGTAAAATAATCCTGGGAGATTAGTGGAGGATAATGTCTTTGGGGCCTGCCATAATAGGTTTAAAACAATAATTCTCTACTTTATTATTTTTCGTATAAATTAAGCAACATTATATTTCCATAACAAAGAACGGGTTTTTAATATAATTATTATTATTATATTTAATTAATTAAGAAAGGTTATTACATAGAAAAGCATTGTTAAATACACACAATTGCCATTATTAATGTAGAAGCTGATTAAAACATTAAGCAGTTGAATTGGAATGGATTAACACACGAGGTAGCTTCCAGTTACCTGGGTCACCACCGTTATTGGCGACTCTTTGCCGAGACGGAGTTGCACTGCGCTGCCTTCCTCTACGCCGACGTCTACCTTCAGAACCGCCACCCGACCACGACACTGCCTCTACACTCGATACCGATTCTATGACAACCCCACAGTCATCTTTCACATTTAATTAACATGCTGGCTATAGTTTTAATCTACTTGGATTTTTTATTGTTAAAAGATCAGATAATGCAGAATGTTCAAAAAGGAATAGCAAATATGGGGGTCGTTTGAAAAGTTCTTTTCCTAAAGCATAGATGTCGCTTATGCTATAAGATTACGAATACATTATTATTAAAACATTGTAACTATAAAAATGTATTTTTTTAAGTTTAGCGCCCTAGGGCTATACATTATTTTTGTTTATACCACTGCAAATAATATTCAACAGTCTAAATAAAATAAATTTTATTACTTTAGTCCACTGTGTGTTTGTTTACTTTACCTTGATCACTTTGACTCTTGTTCGTAAACTAACTGTATGGTATAAAGCAAGTGTTTTGCTAACCCCAAGCAGCAGACGTAGCAAAGGTTCCAATCATGGGAGGGATGAATTTTAATAAAATGCCGACTTTTTCGAAGATTTTGCCGACTGAGGAAAAAATAAGATAAGAATACAGATAAGTTTTTGAGATTTGGAAACTAATAAAACTTTAAAAAATGCCGAACATGAATTCAGAGAAAAATGAGGATCCTAATTTACTTTCGTATATTTTAAACTAAATAATTAATAATAATATTTTAAAATCACCTTTAATCCGTTACGATTCATTGAAAATATTGGATTATACAAGGTTTATACACAAAAAAAAAGTTTATATACAAAAGTGCTCTTTTAGTTCCACCCTTACTTCCTAAGAAGTCCCAGAAGCCAGGGTGTCCCTAAACTTAGTGGCATAAATTTAGGAGCAGATTAAGCAAGTCAAAATAAGACAAAAATCTAAATAAATATTTTTCCTAATTACGTATGTTTAAAAGATACAGGGTGATAAATTGTTACTTATCTTATCAGTTTTTTTAATATAACTTCTACTATGGTAGACTTGGAAAGGTGATATTTTGCGAACAGTCACTTACTACCAAAACACATATTCACACATAATTACAATTGTTCGAGTGAACACAGTGTCGTAGAAACAGGGGTTGCTTAAGCTTATTGTCCCATACAAACTTTAAGGTTAGGTTTTTATACCATTTGATGCAATTTTTCGATTACTCAGTTCAGCTACTATTAAAAGGTGTACATCTCAAACTTCGATAAAATAAACCGTTTCCGAGATATTCGAGATTACAATAATTGTTATAAAGGACTGATGCCTTTCAGTAAAAGGTAAATGATAACAAATTTTTTAATTGAAAAAACTACAATTTTTTTAATAAAAAAATAAAATTTGTTATCATATACCTTTTAATCCTTATAAATAATGCGATATAACAATTATTGTAATCTCGAATATCTCGGAAACGGTTTATTTTATCGAAGTTTGAGAGGTGCACCTTTTTAATAGTAGCCGAACTGTAATCGAAAAATTGCATCAAATGTTATAAAAACCTAACCTCAAAGTTTGTATGGGACAATAAGCTTAAAGCAATCCCCGTTTCTACGACATTGTGTTCACTCAAACAATTGTAATTATGTGTAAATATATTATATATGTGTTTTGATAGTAAGTGACTGTTCGCAAGATATCACCTTTCCAAGACTACTATAGTAGAAGCTTATATTAAAAAAACGTTTTATTTTGACTTGCTCAATCTTTTCCTAAATGTATGCCAATAAGTTTAGGGACACCTTGTATAATATATTATATAGGGTGTTAAAAAAAGGGTAACTAATTTTTAGGGCGTATATTAGAGCCAAGAAGATGAAAAGTCCGTTTTTCGGTCTGAATCACCTTTAATTAGTTATTATTTAAAGAAAGTTTCCAATCACAGACTTGCTTAAGCAGAATGGGTAGATGTGCTACAAACTAAAAAGAATAGGATTTCCCAAAAAAACGACTGTTTTAGAGTTGTATTCGTTTTTTAAAATCATTTTTGCCATTCCTTCCAAATGTTCTTTATAAACATCACAGTTCCAAATTTTTCCCAAAAAAATCCAAGTAAACTTATCTTACAATCTTACGCATATTCAATAATGAATAATAATAAAACTTATACAAACCATAGATTATCATAAAATAAATGTATTCGAACAAAACTTACCTCTATCCAAGCTGGAAACTTCCTGACTATCAAGCACGGTGTCCTCGTCGTCGGTCGTTCGGCGCCTGTCGTCACCCCTTCGGTTGTCGCGACGCCCAGCGCCGCGGCCCCCCCGAGGACCACCGAAGTGCCTCGGAGGCAAGTCGTGGACGCGTTCCTCATTAGCGTCCGGGGTTTGGTGGCGCGATCCTAACATAATTATTATTACATTTAGTATACATACCTACTAGGCTGGATCAAAAAAATCAACTATTTTTTTTCTTCTAAAATTTTGCACTGAATTTTTTTCACGGTACCCAAAAAAGACACCTGTGAAAACCGGAGCTCTTAATTTTTATATTTAGAGGTCGCGCATCGAAAATTTCTATTTCCCATTTAAATAACATGGAAAATTTTGTTTTGTTTCTTTATAATTTTCTAGCTCACAAATTAATTAACAGATTTTTAAGCGTGCTGTTCTGAGAGGTGATTTTTGGACTTTCTGTGAAACCTAATTTTTTTTATATTCTTGTTAATTAGGTCATAACTAAAATTTTAAGAGCAAAATAAAAAAAAAATTGACGGTTAATTTTGTTTTAATTGGATGTTTATTAAAAATATGTATGCCCACTTTCAATTCTCCAATTAAAACTTGCGATTCTGAGAGAACAAAAATTATAGAATACGTATAGTGAAAATGACAATTCAAACGTCAAATAAATTTTTAATAGTTAAGTTTCATGGCAACCTTTAAGGATATATTAATTAAGGGAACATAAATGTATACGTCAAAGGTTAGATTAAAAGTTTGAACGTTTATTGCAACAAAACAGTAAAATATATAAAAAAAAATTGTAAAAACCTTTTTTTTAGTTATGCAAATATTAAATATTTAAATTAAATCGCTAGTTTTAATTGGATAATTGAAAGAGTGCATAATATTTTTAATAAACAGCCAATTAAAACAATTCAAACCGTCAGTTTTTTTATTTTGCTCTTAAATTCTTAGTTATGACCTAATTAACAAGAATATAAAAAAAAATTAGGTTTCACAGAAAGTCCAAAAATCACCTCTTAGAACAGCACCGTGTATAATCTTGTGGGAAATTGAACGCTCTACAAAAAATGTCTCCTATCATTTTTCGATAAACCAACGAGTTCAAAAGTTATTCAAAGTCGAAGTTAAATTTATGTCATAATTGCATTTTTTACTTCAATTTTTAGGCAAATGTATTAGTTAGTTATTATCAAATATAAAAAAAATCATTCAAAAAATCAAAATTACCATGTTCAATAAGCCTTTTAAATTAATTCCACTGAAACACCTACTATTTCTGGAAAGAATTCATTAAAAAGGATTTAAATCGATCAAACAAAAATTTCAATTCTTAAAATAGTAGGTGTTTCAGTGCTTATTGAACATAGTAATTTTGATTTTTTGAATGATTTTTTTTTATATTTGATAATAATAATAATAATAAAAATTTTGATTTTTTGAATGATTTTTTTTATATTTGATAATAACTAACTAGTTAATTTGTGAGCTAGAAATTTATAAAGAAACAAAACAAAATTTCCCATGTTATTTAAATGGGAAATGGAAATTCTCGATGCGCGTCCTCTAAATATTAAAATTAAGAGCTCCGGTTTTTACAGGTGTCTTTTTTTGGTACCGTGAACATATTTCATTGCGAAATTTCAGGAAAAAAAAATAGTTAATTTTTTTGAACCAGCCTAATACCTACTGATATTTTACTTTTTTTTTATCTAATGAAAATTTTTATTAAATTTGTTTTCAATGAAAATATTGAGTTTAGTAATGAAAAAGAGAGAATGTTTTGATGGAATAAGTTAAAATATTTGTATTTTATACAAAATATTTGGACAAAAGGAACTTTAAAATGCGCACGATCTATTTGTCTAGCATTTTGCAAGATACAATGTTTGTGCGCTGTTAACCCCTAGTGACGTAAAGAATGTCGATTGTCACATTCGAGAATGCGAATGTCAACTTTTTAAACTTGCTTAGGGTATCATTAAATTATTTATTTCCAGTCTAAAAACATCTTTAAAAAAACATGTTTTTTTTCGAAATCGTTTAACCCTTCCTAAATGAAATTATGACATAAAAAAATATTCATAACCCATAGAAGACGCTTTACAAAATTTTGACCTTCGATATCCTTTAAATCGAAAAAAACATACAAGATCTTAAGGCGTAAAATTTACAGCATAAATATTTCATTAATAAGTTATTCAGAAAGAGCTAAACGACAACGGATTTATTTTTAATTCATTAATGTAAGGATATAAAGTCGCCGCGGCGAATGCGTCATTAATTTGTGAACCAAGACATTACAATTTTTCTGTTTTCTTTGTATAGTCGCCGCGGCGTACGTGGAATGTATGCCGGATGTAGTTCAGCAAACCAGTTTTTGACATTTAAAAATTGATGACGCAACGGAAGACATTCGCCGCAGCGACATTCATATTGTATTCAATGTAGCGATACGTATGTCAAAAATAGGTTTTTGACATTTTACATCGATGACGTAATGGTCAAGTTAAAAAAATATTGAGACCGATGTGTGATGCGAATATTATTTAAGTCACGAACCTATATAATATATATTATAATAATATAATTTTATTATAATACATATTATGTACAGTAAAGTGGGCCGCGGATTTTTTAAGAACAATTTTAATTTTAAACTGGCGCACTGTGAAAAACATTTTTTTGCCAAAATTTCAATCAGTATTATAAAAAAAAATGGGCCGAAATAAACAGTTTTCAAACGGGCAAGCGGGCCCTAATGTAAATTAAGAAATAAGGGCCTGTGGCTAGGGTGGGCCAAAAAACTTTTTTACGAATTTCAATGAAAAAGTTATATTCTTCCATTATTAGCCACAAAAAACAGGTCCGTACTCCGATTTTTTACCGGGCCCCAGGGCCTCAAAAGAAGGGCAAAAAGTAAATTAAAAAAAAGTCATTTTGCGACCTTTCTTTTGTCGAATATTATTCTCTATAAATTTTAAATAATTTGAAAAATATTTAACCGGGCCCCACTGGCTATGAAAATTGAAAAGTAATTATAATTTAATTTTGTTGTGCAGCCCTTCGCTAAATTTGATATTTTTACAGTAACTTAATAATATATTTCTAAATATCAAATTTACCCAGAACTCACCACAAGGAGGTAAAACTGTTTATTTGGGCCGTTTTTTTTATTACACCAATAGGAATATTATCAAAAACAAGTTTGTTACGGCAACTACATTTCTCAGACTGGGGCGTTTAAAACTAATTATTTTCTTAAAAAATACCGCAATTTTCAGCCCACCCTATTGTACAGGGTATCTGAAGTCTGCACCACCAAAAACAGCAAATTCTAGGGACTTTATATTGAAGGCTGAAGGACCCCGGTCAATGGACTTTTGTATTTTATTGTTGTATATGTACTCAATATGCAATAAAAACTTTATTTATTTATTATTTATTAGATTGATTTGATAAAATCCTCCCATTGAAAAATGCTTACCTACCAAGGGAGTTAGAACTCTTGTTTTTAATATAAAATTATAAAAAATTGGAATAGAACTGGTTTTTGTTTGGGGGTTAGGGGTGATTGATTGGTTATAGGACCCTTCAAGCAACCATATACATTCAGGAGCTATGTTAGTCGAAAAATATTATGGTAATCTCAACTCAACAAACTTGCTGGAAGGGTTCAAAACTTAAAAATAAAACAATGCGATTTTTTATCAATTTATATTTCTAAAAAAATCTTTCACAATAAGATACGACACAGTTAGTGGGCCAGTCTCTGCTGTAGCAACCATCACTATTGTCTTAATTGTTAGCAAACTCACAGTAAGCATATTCTTTCCACTTACTTGGTCTGTAAATGAGCAGAATTAACATACGCGAGATCTATTCACTTATATGTGACATTGCTGTACATTTCTTTTTTTAATAAGCTTGCATACCCTTCCAGCAAAGTTTTAATTATGTTGAGAGTTATTTAGAAGCCTCATGGGGGTTTACTAACTTCATTTAGTAACCACTTTTAATAGCAAATTTACAATTTCCTTCCACGTGAAATGTTATTGCAATCCTTTCAGAATGGCTCAACTTTTAAAATAAACATAAAATAAGGATTATTACTTGCTATTAAAAGCGGTTAAAATATGTATTCACAATATATTTATTTCAAGAAGGTGCAGGTGTTTGGAACTTAATATTCTTAATGTATACAACTGCACCTACTGTTACAAAAGCCATGAAATTAAGTCCACATTTTTAAATAGCGACAAGTTAATCGCCAATAAAGAAATCCAATATTATATTTAAAATACTGTACATTGAATAATAAAGTACAGCTATATAGAAAGAAAAAACAAAAAAAAAATATTAAACTTGAAAACAAAAAACTTAAATGCATACAAAACTACGTTACACATTATGTTAAGCAGATAAATAATTGGTTATTTAATTTACTGCAACATTGTGATGGAAACCAAAATAAAAGTATTCTGTTTAATTTTGACAAGATACAGAAGCAGCTTTAGTATTATACGTATATAATAATAGATACTGTGATATTATAAGAAAAACACAGTATACTTTACTCAAATAAAATATAATCAGAAAGAAAAGTATTTGTACTTTGAACTTGTATTTAGTATAAAAATAATTTTTAAACGTCTAAATTGTTTAAGTCATTTTCACAAATTAATCTAAGCAAATATGTAAAAATTATAAATATAAACTTTTGTTTAAATATAATAATAAAGTATAAGTACTTTTCTAGATGATTATGATAATTCCTCATCATGATTTGCCTGTGTTTAACACAGATTTAGAATAAATTGATACTCGTAAAAATTGTCATAAGCCGGGTCAGTCTATAAAGTCGTCAGAAAATGAGTTTTAATGGCTTTACGCAACCCTGGTCGTAACGTGTCTCTTTTATAATGTCTCTTTATTATTACTTTGAACAACATTAATAAGTATGGAAATAGGAAATTAGGGTGATGCGTACTGTCCCTGGCCAATTTATTAAACTAACTCACAAATTTTCTTTAATATAGGGAATTTTAGGTCAGTAAAAGGGGATGTTGACCCAATACTTTTGTACTGGTTGAAATTATTTTTAATCAAAAGAGCTTAAATTAAATTGTACAGAGAGGCGATTCCATGATTACTAATGGGTCAAGCAAAAAAAACCAAAATGTTTTATGAAAATTTTGTGTTGTTCCTATAATAATAATTTTATGCCAGTCCTCATCTTTAAAATTTTCATAAAACATTTTGTCTGTCCCGTTAGTAATCATGCAATTGCCCAGAGGCCAAATAAATACAGGCTACATTTTATAAATATTATTTTGCTTACCAATGCGTTGTTGCATGAATATATGCAATAAACGCAACCTTTTTTGGAAATTGGTTTTCCTTTTACCTCTTTTGGGATGTTTTTTCTTAAAAAATTCTTTTTGTAAGTTTTGTAGCTCTCATTTTCTAAAAAATTGACCGTTTAACTTAATTAAATTGGTCTACTGGGAATGGACAATCAAAGTCGCGAGCTATGTTTCGCGGAGGGCGTCAAGCGCAATATCACGCAGCGTGTTTTTTCTTTACGCAACGATGCATGAACAAAAAAGTAAGTAAAATTGTAATACTTATATAATTAATTGAGCTTTTAATGGACATATTTTTAAATAACTTATATAACAAATTATAAGGCCGAAAAAGGTTAAAATATTATTTTTAAAGCCTACACTGTACCAATTTACTTTAAGAAAATGGTCATTTTATAGAAAATTTCAAAAGCTACAAAATTTCAAAAAAAAAATGTTAAAAAAGGGGTAAAAAAGGATAAAACCATTTTCCAAAAAAATGGTTGAGGTTTTTTTAATATATTTAAGCAACAGCGCATCGAAAAGTAAAATAGGTTTTTATTCGGGTTGTACAATTTAGCTGCTAAAAAGTTAGCTAAATTAATCAGCTTAGCTAATTTAACCGGTTAACTAATTAGCTGGCGGATAATTTAACTGGTTAACTGAATTAGCTTAGCTAATTAGCTGGCGGCTTAACTGGTTAATCTAGCTTAGCTCAGCTAATTACCGTTAGCTAATTAGCTGAGCTAAGTTAGATTAACCGGTTAAGCCGCCAGCTAATTAGCTAAGCTAATTCAGTTAACCAGTTAAATTAGCTAAGCTGATCAGTTAGCTAGCTAATTAACTTAACTTTTTTAGCCGGCTTAACCGGCTAAATTTTACAGCCCTAGTTTTTATAAAAAACGCCTGTGCGAAAACCATAATACATATTATTCAATCTATGCTTTAAAAAAAATAAAATTACAACTAGCATAAAAGTATTGGGTTTTTGATATATTTTAACAAAAATGCATTTGTGAACTACAGAAGTGAAAAAGAATAGCGTTAAAAACGCCTTTTATATAATAAAACACATTTTTACGATATAATTAAAATAAAAAAACTGATAATGACTAATTGGGCTTTTTAACTCATATTGCAAAAATGAGTTTAAAAATTCGTTTGAAAAAAATATTAAATTTAAAACAATTATTTTACAAAAAAATTTTATTTGAGGGCTTTTTTTTAAATGTCAAATGTAACACAATAATAAAATTTCTTAACCTGTACAAATTATTTAAGTAGGTTTGTTTCTAAGGGTAACTTTTAAGCTGATTTCAAAATCAGAATTTGTGTATTTTCTATAGTTTTTGCATAAGCATTATCTTTATGTTGTAAAGATGGTATACAACTAGTTTCAGAAAAAATTTAATCTTGGCTTTCCGCCCAGGATCAGAGAAAAAACTCTTGAAATTTCATGTCAAAATGATGATTCAGGTGACAGGTGTCAAAAATGGCAGTTGACAGGTGTCAAAACTAAACTATAACAGATGTAAAAATGAGCCACAAAAACGAAAATACGAATCAAAATAAGCTGACATATTCTATCTGTTATTATTGACAATTTACATATTTTTGATTTCATTTTATTTTTATGCACTTAAGTACACATAAATAACTATTATCTACGAATGCTATGTAAACTGTCAATGATGACAGATAACAGATGTCAGCTTATTTTGTTTAATATGGCTCAATTTTGACATGTTATAGATAATTGTTGATACCTGTCACCTGTCAGTTTTGACATGTGTCACCTGTAGTGTTTAAAAAACGACCAGTATTTACTCACATAAAAGTTTGAGAATTTTTTTCTTAGCTCCTAGAAGATGAAATTTTTTCTGGAAAACGTGGTCCTGATCAAACTTGCCGAAAAAAAATTGATTTACATTCTCATTACATTTTTGAAATTAGCTTAAAAAGTTACCACTAGGAAGAAACTTTTAGTTTAATAAAATTTACAAAAAAATGGCACATCACACAAAATTTAAAAATTACAATAATTAATTTCTCGGTAATTAGTTATCATGAAACCTTCAAAACTAAGATTTTTTGTTATCGTATAAATCATCTAAGGCTTAATACAGTTTTCAAACGGTTTAGGAGTAAAAACAACTTTCCTAAAATATTTTTGCAAAAAATCGATTTTTACAATACTTATTAATAATTACATTTGTGGATGTTTTTTTCAAAAATTGATTACTCCCGAACGGTTCATCAAAACTTAACATTTTTTATATAAAAATTTTCGTTGAAAAATATACGGTTTGTCCCTAACAACAAATTTTTTATAGGAAAGTATATTTTTCAACGAAAATTTTGGGAGTAATCAATTTTTGAAAAAAACATCCACAAAAAATGTAATTGTATTCTAAAAATCGATTTTTTGCAAACATATTTTAGGAAACTTGTTTTTACCCCTAACCCGATTGAAAACAGATGAAAAATGGGACCATCAATTTTTAAGTGGCACACTTGAGAAATTTTGAGCCCTAGACAAAATTTAAAGAAAATCTGAGTTGGTGTGGTGATCTGACGTAAAATGACCCCCAAACCAGTTGAAGTTTTTTTGAAATAAAACTATTTCTAGGTCAGATATTTATGGCCATTTATAAAATCATTTTTGAATTTCAACAATGCTTTTTGTGGGAAGATATCGACTATTTTACAAATTTCCTAAATTAGGGGAAATTTGTGAGTGAGTGTAATAAATTAGCCGGGGACTGAAAAGCCGACTCCGATTTTGTTACAACACAAAAGTATTGTGGATTAATGGAAGTTGACCAAAATTTGATGGCATAAACAATAATCACTTTTGGTCTGCGTCTTCTCCGCCGGCGGAGTCGACAACTGGGGGAGGAGGGCGACTTCTCAGGGAGGCGGCGGTGGCGGTTCGTTCGCGCGAGTTCCTATCCGCGCCTCCGCCCCTGTGATACGGTCGCCCGTTCGTCTGGTGACTCCCCCGGCCCCTGCCGTTGTTGCCCACCGGCTTATTGCGTTTGTCGACGTTATTAACAAGATCTGTGATTGTACTACCGGAATTGTATCTGTCGTGCTGCTGCCTGGCTCCGGGCGGTCCGCCGCCACCTCTGCCGCGGCCGGAACCGCGCCCGCGCATGCCGCCGCCGCGCGACGATCTCGGCCCTCCGTCCATGTCCGAACTGTAGCCTCGGTCGTTTCGCCTGCCCATAGACAGGCTCTGCATCGAGCCCATGCCGGTGCCGTGGATGCTGCGCAGCTGCTGATCAATCTCCAACTTTTCCTGTCTCAACTGCTCAACTTCCTGTTAACAAAACATTTTTCTAATCACGGTTTGATATCGATTAATCGATTAAACAAGTTTAAATTATAATATGATTTTAATAGCTTTTTTTAAGATATTAAACGTGCCACGCTGTAAAGCTTAATTTTCATGTATCCGTTTGTCCGTCAGTCCGTTCATCCGGGAGCGCTCTTATTGGTCCAATTATAATTCGAAAATTATGATATTTTATCGGTCCGTCAAGTTTCAACTTCGTACGTCTGACAGAGAAAGGTTAATAGTTATTTACGATATAAGTGGGATAAGAGCTTTATTAACGTACGCATGCGAAATTTGCCCAACGAGTGCGTAGCACGAGTTGGGCAATAGCAAAAGTACGTTAATAAAGCGTTATCACACGTATATTGTACAAATTTTTATCTACGCCTCTAAATGAAAAAATAAACGGTAATTATTTTTGTCTAAGACTTAATTTAGGGTTATTTTGACATTTTGACTTTTTTATTTGATTGGTTAAAAACAGAGAAAAACGCGTGCGTTAATGAACTTCTTATCTCACTCAAAATGAGTGGGATAAGAAGTTTCTATCTCACTGGCGTAGATAAATAATTTTAACTCATCCGTCACTACACATCTGTTTTTGACGCCTAACGTTATTTTAAGATAATTTATTTTCAAATATTTTTATAATTTTTCAATAAGATTGTAAAACGGAAATATTACGTTCGTTATGTGAATAATGTTTTACTTTAACAGAAAAAAAGAAAGGACAAAAAAAAATTATAACTAGGACTAAAAGGACCTGCTTTTTTAAAACTACACATTTTAATGTATATTAGGGCTAGTATATTCTTTTTATAAGGTATATTTACCTACCTTTAAATTTATTAGACAGCTAACTGTTAAAGTTACAATTGTTGACATAATTGTAACTATGACAATTAAGCATTAGGTAAATTTAGTAAGTGAATATACTGACACTTAATTTCTATTTGTCGCAAAATCAATCCGTTAAACGTAATTAAAAAACGTATGCATGAAAATTAGAACATTTCTTAAGCTTAATTTTCATGTATCCGTTTGTCCGTCAGTCCGTTCATCCGGGAGCGCTCTTATTGGTCCAATTATAATTCGAAAATTATGACATTTTATCGGTCCGTCAAGTTTCAACTTCGTACGTCTGACAGAGAAAGGTTAAATAATTTTAACTCATCCGTCACTACACATCTGTTTTTGACGCCTAACGTTATTTTAAGATAATTTATTTTCAAATATTTTTATATTTTTTCAATAAGATTGTAAAACGGAAATATTACGTTCGTTATGTGAAAAATGTTTTACTGTTAAGTTTTTATTTAATAAGAATAACAGAAAAAAAGAAAGGACAAACAAAAAAAATTAAAACTAGAACTAAAAGGACCTGCTTTTTTAAAACTATACATTTTTATGTATATTAGGGCTAGTATATTCTTTTTATAAGGTATATTTACCTACCTTTAAATTTATTAGACAGCTAACTGTTAAAGTTACAATTGTTGACATAATTGTAACTATGACAATTAAGCATTATGTAAATTTAGTAAGTGAATATACTGACACATAATTTCTATTTGTCGCAAAATCAATCCGTTAAACGTCATTAAAAACGTATGCATGAAAATTAGAACATTTCTTATCGGACGATTTTATTGAAAAACTGACATACGGATGACGGACAAACGGATACATGAAAATTAAGCTTTATCGGACAATTTTATTGAAAAACTGACATACGGATGACGGACAAACGGATACATGAAAATTAAGCGTAAGGCCCTAAAGGGACTTATTTTAAGTATAAAAAAAATTCCAAGTAATATTATTACTTAAAGGATTTAAAAAATTAATTTTATTTGTGTCATTTCAATGTTTTGTGACAATTAATTTGGATAGCATAAAAGAATTTAAAAAAATGTTCGCAAATAATTACTCATAAAGTGCAAATAAACTATAGTGTAACAACTACAGTGAGTAGAGACTATCCTACGGTTAGGGGTGTCAATACCAGGATCACGAAATCCCGGGATCCCGTAAAAAATCCGATCTTGAAAATCCCGGGATCTTAGTAATAAGTTACAAAGAATAAAATATACTTTTTTTTAAAGCGTATGACAATTTTCATATTATAATACTCATAAGCATATATACAAGGTGTCCCTAAACTTATTGGCATAAATTTAGGAAAAGATTGAGCAAGTCAAAATAAGACAATAACCCAAATAAATATGTTTCCTAATTACTTATGTTTTCAAGATACAGGGTGATAAAGTGTTACTTATCATATCAGTTTTTTTAATATAACCTCTACTATGGTAGTCTTGGAAAGGTGATATTTTGCGAACAGTCACTTACTACCAAAACACATATTCACACATAATAATAATTGTTTGAGTATCGAAGAAACGGGGGTTGCTTTAAGCTTATTGTCCCATACAAACTTTGAGGTGAGGTTTTTTATAACATTTGATGCAATTTTTCGATTACTCAGTTCGGCAACCATTAAAAAGGTTCGATAAAATAAACCGTTTCCGAGATATTCGAGATTACAATAATTGAGGGGCTTGGAAGTAAAACGGTTCAAGTGCACTTTTTTAAATAAATTATCTAAGTGCAGAATATCACACCTAAACAATATTCTAACTTTGTGGTAAAATTATATAAGTACATTTTACATTCCCTGGCGCCATTTCTTATCGACTTTAAAAACCTGTCAAAATATTTTGAAATATATCTTTGGTAAAACGATTTAAGTGCACCTTTTACTGCCATAGTTTATAAACATAGGCTATTATCTATGCTGCTAAAGCCTTGACAAGTATTTTAAAACATGTCAAGTGATTATGTGTTTTCACAGATATTTTTCAGTGTTAGTCCCTACTGACATTGATCCGACGTCGGAATAGAATCGGCCATAGGATGTCGGCCAGCAGACGTCGGACGTATGTTCGCCCAAGCGATTCTGATTATGAATATTACTTTTTGTTCTAAAACTTACCCAAATTTTAAAAAATAAAGTTTTGTTCTAGTACAGTAATTGCATTTAAATCATTTTACCACTAAATTTTTTCTTACATGCATGACATGCATGACATGCATTTTTGTAAAAAAAAATTAACAAAAAAGCTAAATTGAAAAATTCCTTTTTCTTTATAATCCTTTTTTGTCTTTAAACAAAACTAAAATATTCACACAGTTCTTTAAACTCTTTTCTAGAATTTTAAAATTCAAGTTAACTTTAAAGCCATTTATCTCAGAACTAAAAAAAATGCACTTAAACCCTTTTACTTCTAGGCCCCTCAATTGTTATATCGCATTATTTAAAAGGATTAAAAGGTTTATAACAAATTTTATTTTTTAATTGAAAAAACTAAAAAGGGCATTCCATGAGCCTCGGAATGAGACAATAAGTTTAAGCAACCCCTGTTTCTACAACACTGTGTTCACTTGAACAATTGTAATTATGTGTGAATATTTGTTTTGGTAGTAAGTGACTGTTTGCAAAATATCACCTTTCCAAGTCTACCATAGTAGAAGTTATATTAAAAAAACTGATATGATAAGTAACACTTTATCACCCTGTATCTTTTAAAATACGTAATTAGGAAAAATATTTATTTAGATTTTCGTCTTATTTTGACTTGCTTAATCTGCTCCTAAATTTATGCCACTAATCATTTTTTTACGCAGTTTTAAAGTCAAATTATTATACACCGCCGTACAATAATAAAATTACATTGAAATTACATAGCAAGAGTGATTCCATCTATAGCGTTTAGCATAAAATCAGCAAAGAAAATGTAAAATTAAAGGTCACTGTAGAATAAATTTATGTACATAACCTATAATATAACATATTTCAAACGTCAAACCTGAAATAAACTTGATAATTTCAATTTAAGTTAGAGCCCCAATTGGAACTCACCAAGGCCCGATTGATAAAAAAAATGGAATTATTTGTTAATGGGAGTAAACGTACAATGTGCTTACAAATTCTTGAAAACCGTTTGTTGTTCCTTTATTTTAAATAGGTTTTAAAATTAATGATACATATTTTTCGGGACTGACCTTTGGTCCCGAAAGGCCCGGGATTGGAAAAAGAGCTCGAGATTGACGCCTCTACCTACGGTCAAGAAAGTGTTAAGGGAGGAAAGGACCATCTGGAAAACCTGATAAGTAACCTTAACCATCTGCATGACCTAACACATAATTTGCAACATTAAACACAACAGTTACCTTTAAAACCCTAAGTTAGGCACTTTGCTTAAACTCTAAAAAAAAAATAAACAAAGTGCGTCAGTAGAGTGCCATTAACCCTTAAGCAGGCACGCGGGGTGTACAAAACACCCCAGCTTCCTAAATATAGCTACCGGTCTCACTTCGTTTCGAATAAATGGCGCTTACTTTCAGTACCTTCCTGTCAAAGTATTGTCAGTCATATTATATTGCCGATTTCGAAGTTAATGTAATAGGTTGTCTGATATTTTGTTTCAAACAGGCTCTGGGTGCTGTGGACACCCCGTGCGCCTTTCCACGTACAATTATTTTGCATTAATTTGTTAAGCTGATTTTTTCAACTTTTGTTATTACTTCACATTAAATAAGGTTATACCCTGTAAAAAAGTAAGTGGAACGCATGACAAAATATTTATTTTTATCTTGAAAGCATTGCGTTATGTTTTGCTTGTTTCCGTTCGTTCTAATATTTTATGTAAACAACAAATAAAAATTTGCCAAAATTTCTCCGCCCAATAATTTTCAAATTATCAGTTGCCGGTAAAGAAGGGCAGATGTGTAATTTGTCCAAGGCATGCCTTTTTGCAAAAAATAGAAAGTGTGCCAAAAACAGGTGCATGAAGCACAGGAAAAATGTTTGTAAAAAAGCTTTGATTCCATGCATAGTAAATTCTACTATCGAAATTGAGTGACTTTGAGCAGGCTGGGTTTTGCCTCCCTATTGACTTTTCTTTACCAATTCATAATTACTTGTAAAAGTAAACCTTATCTTATGTGCTTAGTGTTTTTTTTTGGTTTTTATTATTATTATGACTTTTAAAATTTGTGTTTTTTAAATAAATGCTTTATTTTATTAAAATTGCAGTCTTTTGACATTTTCTTTTTTTTTGTCATCTTTTATCAAATTTGAACGTAACGAAATATGTTCTCATTGTCTCTAAGCTCATCTTAGCTTAATAACTTTGAAAAAAAAAACAAAAAAAATGTAAATAACACTCAGGGACGCTTTGCCAACAGGGGTGTCTCTGACACCCCGCGCGACCTACTACGTTGCATAAAGAGGTGCGCCTGCATAAGGGTTAATATCTCATGGCGGACGACCTTGGGTGCGCAAAAGTCTCAAATCCGTCAAATCGCGCTATTACTCGCCGACCTAAAAACATACTACATAGGGTAAACAATGCTGAAATTTATTGACATATTTAGAAGAATTTCTGGGCAAGAAATTTTATTATATTTGTTATATTATAGCGTCTCTCAAGGTCAACCGCTATGAGATATTAATATCACTCTAACAATAGTAACATTAGTAAGACAATAGTAAGCAAACACCAAAAAAAGACAAAATAACAAAAAAACAAAACCGCCCTATCCTACCGCTGTCATTTTCACGAAAGCTGAGTAGGACAATAAATCTGCCAACAACAAACGCGTAAGGGACTAAACCCTTTAATTTAAGAGAACGGCCACAACAAAATAAAGCTTAAACTAAACGAGTCCAATAATAAACATTGACACTTAGAATCTACACGAACACACAATAAATTAAGAAAACCTAAACATAGAAAAAAGCACATAAACACACAATATACAATAAAAGTCAAAAAAATACCCCCCACCGGTAACTGCCTAATCGCATTACCAAACGGGTAAGGGTGGCCCAACTAAAATTCTGGGTCCACATCACCCGTAGGCACCAGAACAACATACTACAAGCCACCCTAAAACTAGACCGACTAGACGGCACGTTAGCACAGAATATTCACTTCTTACAAATTAACAAGAACAGTTGGGAGCAACTAAGCACCAACAAGAATAAGATAAGGAAAAGAACTGAATTACTATACCAAGTGCAGAAACAATCCGACTTGGACTCGGACACAGACAATAACGACCAAAACGTAGACCACGACTAGCAAATTAGGCCCCTGCAGCAAAATAACACCTCCCCAACTCCAAACAGTAATCCTAAATGTTTGGAGTAATACTAACTGCCTGGTGATTTGAGTCGGCGTTATTATCCCCCAAACACCAAAATGTCTATCCCTCCCGACCACAGACCACCAAAACAAATGGACGGCGCATTGCCATTCAATAACAATGCTTTGTTTGCGGTCAACAAACGGTCACAGTCTAAGCGTCAAATTGGCGATAGAATTTTATGTTTTCTTCCAGTGACGTATTGGGATTAAAAAAATAATAGTAGGTAGGTACTTACAAACGATATTTTCATGTATTGTTATTTTTAGTAAAAAATAATGTATTTAAACTCTATAATTAACTTAAACAAGATAGAAATACACAAACGAAAACACAAAACAACAAGCTGTCAACCCACAGAACATAACCTTTTTCTATGCTGTCAAATATGACGAATTTACCAACGTTGTTAATATTTAATTTTAATAATAATTATTATTAAATGATTTACTTTCTTCAAATAAAGAAAAATATCTAAAGAAAATGATGAACAAATCCTTTTTACAATTTTTTTATTATTCAAACGAATTACTGGTAATTATTAATGTTCATTATGTTATGATGAACGTCCAAAAAGGCGTGTAATCTATACTTCTGACAACGTTGGAAGCCGTGTTTCTTTCGACGGTGTTTAGAATGTGAAACTATGCTTTACTCGCTTTTCAAACGTAAACAAATCCGTCCATTTGTTTTGGTGGTCTGTGCTCCCGTCCTACCTCCTTCATGATTAAAGTGACCAGATACTGTCAAAAAATAGGGGGACATTATGTGTAAATTAACCTTAATTACAAAAATGACATAATTAACAATAATTAAGTAACGTCAAATTTACAATTTTCATTGTAAAATTGTCAATTTTGTAATTAAGTTAAATTTATACAAAATGTCCCCCTATTTTTTGAGAGACAGTGACCAGATCACTTTATCCATGACCCTACTGGGCGTATAGCAAGGGCACGGAGAATCCGTGAAAGGCTATTTAAACTATTGGCATTTCGCTCTCGATCCCTAAATAGGGGACATTACGGGACGCAAGGGACATTCGCACCAAGCAAACACGGGTGAAGCCGTATCGCTACTGATGGCGAAAGAAAATCGGCTTAAGGAGAAAGAGGCCTGTGCGGGGCCCGGGAGCGATGAGGCAATGGTTATACGTCTCTTATACTCATACTTTAATGTTTTGTGACAATTTATTTGGATAGCATAAAACAAGTTTAAAAAAAGAGTTAAAAAAACTTATAAAGGTTTAATTTTATGTATCAAACTTTAAGAAATTACTTTTGAAGGGGGGTAACAAGCAAAAGGGTGCAAGTGCATTTTAGCATGAAAATAAGTTGTGCAGAATTGGGTGGTATATATATATTTTTTTAAAATTTTCGCATAACGTGAAAATTGCACCGCATGTTGATTAATGCAAACAACAATATTGCAATATAGAAACAAGTATCCAGATTTTTGTATATAGCAAAAACTTTAATAACTCTACTTCTCTTTTTTGCACTTGTACCCTTTTGCTTCTTACCCCTTCATTTGTCAACTATTTTAACACCAGGTCACGGTCTTGTTTATATACTAGGTTGATTAAAAAAACTACTTTTTTTCTTTATGAAATCATATAATATTCATTTTCACATTTGTCTGGTGAAAAACATTTTGTATCTCACCAATAAATGAATATAAAGCTAAGAATTAAATGCTCTACAAAAAACGTTTCATATGGTTTCTTTTTAAACCTAACCAATGGTTAGTAACCATTCAAAAGATATCTTTGGTTAAAGTTTAAAAAAACTTTTCTTTAAAATTTTATAAGTTGCAGAATAGTAAAGATTTTAAAATAAGTAAAGTTTTTTTTTATTCGTTAAAAATTTGGGGGTTTGGCAAATTATAGGGACCCTAAATTTATAATGGGCTACATTGAGCAAAACAAAATAATTTATGCAGCACACATGAATTATTTCATCAAAATGCTGATTTGTTTTTAAAATTTCTTATTGTTTAGAATTTTCTGTTTCTTTAGCATTGTTTATTATAATTTTAACAATTAAATAATGTCAAAGTAAAATTAAGGCATTGAATAGAAGTACAATGGAGGACACGAAATTTCGAACCTAAAAAAAATTTTTTTCAAAACTTTTTAAATTTTGACATAACATATGGCTGGGTTTACGAAAAAAACATAAGATACCTTTTTTGTAGAGCATTTAATTTTCTATTAAAATATTTAATTGGGCTTAGCTTTATATTCATTTGTTTTTTTTTTCAGAATAATGGAAAAATTTGATTACTATTAATATACATAGATAGGCTTATTTTGAGGTGTCCGGCAAGCAGTTTTTCTATATCAGAAGTAAAAAAAAAGAATAATTTTTTTAATCACCCTAATATGTATACACGAGTTCAATGAGAAATTTTTGGCTAAACATTTTGGCTAGAAAAATTAAGAGCGCGTAGCAGCGCTGCTGAGTTCTTAAAATTAAATGTTAATAACACAAGAACTACTTGTCAAAAAAATCATAATAGTAACCCCCCTACAGCGTGGCATACCGTTCGTGCGTCATTATGTAGATAGAAATCTGTTGTTGTGTAAATTTAAAAGAATGGGATTAGCAGGCACTGTTTAAAGTTGGTTTATTCTTATTTCCCCAAAAGTAAAATACACAAACTGTTCGTATTTATCTAAACAATTAAAAACAAAATATGATGTGGCAATACTTCGTTCCATTCTTTTGTATAATTCTATTATTTTTGTATTTTATTAATATTTTAATAGGATAAATATTAATAATGTTTCAATTGAAAAAATTATTGGAAATAAATATCTAGGAGAAAATAATATTTTTAAGATGGCACATGGAAGCGCTTTTAAAAGCTTACATAAATGATTTACAAAAAGACATGGCAGTGGAACCCTATTAAGGGGTTTTCAATAAATGCAATATAAATATAAAATGTAATAAAATAAAAACTTGATTCAAATTTTTTATTTCTTGTGCACTTTGGTTCTTTTGCATAATGTTTGTTTGCATAGACTATAGATTTCAAATTGATAAGATTAGATTATTAAATAATATTTTATAATCTAAAGGACGCCAAATTATGTAGACCACAGTTTTCAAAAAATAACGTCAATTATCATAGAATTTTTCTATAACAACCAAACGTTTTTAAGGCGTGTATTTAGTTATAATAAATTAACACAGAACTATTTACAGAGAACATTTTAAACATGGTTTTAAAAATCATTAATTTTGGAAAAACCTTTATATTGTTGGAGTTAAGATATAAATTATAAAATATTCAATTAATTTATTACCTTCAAGTGCGCAAGATGATACTGCAGTAAAACCTTTGCATTGGATATACTCTCTACGGTCCCGACGAAGACGAAAGGAACCTGTCCTTCTTCCCTCGGGATCGTTGGTTTAGGCTCGTTGTCGCCCTCGATTTTCACTCGAACCTGAAAACAGAACGCAATGCAATCTACCAAGCAAAACATCTGGACGCACTAACCACTCCACTTTTGTCGACGATCTCCTGGATGATCCGTCCGTTTTTGCCGATCACCTTGCCCACCAGCGCTCTTGGCACTTGAAGGGATTCCTCGCTATATTCTAACATCGAACGCGCTTTTTTAACAGCCTCATCAGTCTCTCCGTAAATTTTAAAAGTACAAGAATTCTCCTCCAACTCAATGTTCGTTACACCGTCTACTTTTCTAGCTTGCTGAATATTGGCACCGTGAGCACCAATTGCTAAGCCCATTAGATCTTCCCTAACATTGAATTCATCAGAAAATCTGAAAACATTTTAAATTTAAGAGATTTGCGTTTTTTTAATAAAATGTTAATGGCCTAATATAAAATAACATAGTTAGGTAAGGGGCAATATGAAAAGTTTTAATTTTTAAGATCTTTAATTTTCTTGTTTAACAAAACCATGTGATCAGTAAAGTAAGTAAATTTTACTTAAGTTAATTCATTTTATTAAATTTAATTGTTTACAAAATTATAAAACTATTTAACTAAACATTACAAAACTATTTAACTAAACATTTAATATAACCAATTCACTTTAGTTTTACTTTTTATGACACAATTGTCTCAATTAAAATAAAAATAAACTATTTTTTGTAGTCTATACCTTTTTAACTTCAAATTGGAACTAATCAATTTTAATTTCGAATGTAACCATTTCAGATTGGGAGTAATAAACTTTTAATTGGTAACTAACACGTTCAAAATGGGAATAAATAAACGTTTTTAGGGGCTTCCCACATATACGAGCAGTTTTTAGCGTTTTTTGAATTTGTTTGTTTCCAATTTTACTTTGTTTATTCGTGTTAGTTAACAATTAAAAGTTGTTTAATCCCAATTTGAAATTATTACATTCCAAATTGAAATTGATTAGTTCCAATTTGAAGTTTAAAAGGTATAGAGGCTTCCCACATATACGAGCATTTTCTAGCGTTTGTGGTAATTTGCAGTCGTTCTCAGTCTTTTCATGCCTTTAAATCCATGGAAAGACTGAAAACGACTGCAAACTGCCACTAACGCTAGAAAATGCTTGTATATGTGGGAATCCCCTAGAAACGTTTGTTCGCGTTTTATTGAAAATTCCAATTTGATGTTGATTAGTGCCAAATTGAATTTGTTTATTTCCAAATTGACTTTGTTTATTCCCATTTTGAACGTGTTAGTTACCAATTAAAAGTTGATTATTCCCAATTTGAAATTGTTACATTCCAAATTGAAATTGATTAGTTCCAATTTGAAGTTGAAAAAGTAAAAATGCAAAACCTAACTATTCTGTTAAACTGAAAATTGATACAGAATGTCCCAAATCTCGCGCGACGTCCCCCAGGAATCCCAGAAATTTAAAAAAAATGCTACCTTCATTATTTAAAAAAATATATCTTTCTCCCGATTTTAAAGATCATTATAGTCGCCCCTTGTACATATCATAAAATCTGACATCTGTTAGACAGTTCCAATCTCCTCTTTTAACCAGTAGTCGCACACAAGATTCTATTAAACAACAGCAAGGAATTTAAAGTCAATTTTATTTATTATTTTATCTGACATCTAACAGCTGTCAAGCAGTTTTAACCTCACTTTTTTCAATTTTAACTTAAAGCGAATTAGAATTTCGACCACCGGTTGACATTAAGAAATGAAATGGGTGTTGAATAAATAATATTATTATTATTACACTTGCACACACACAGACCTTTGGACTCTTGCATTTTCCAAGCACAAGATACATATCACAATACTCCCCAAAAAAATACATGACAGAATCTAATTTTGAAGTTAAACTGTCAATCATAAGATGTGATGTTAACAGATAATGCCTATGTTCCGTAATTTACTGTCAGTACTATCGGTACTGAAAACGCATTCCGAAATCCACTTTCAGTTAGGAATTTAAAGTCAATTATTTATTATTTTATCTGACATCTAACAGCTGTCAAGCAGTTTTAACCTCACTTTTTTCAATTTTAACTTAAAGCGAATTAGAATTTCGACCACCGGTTGACATTAAGAAATGAAATGGGTGTTAAATAAATAATATTATTATTATTACACTTGCACACACACAGACCTTTGGACTCTTGCATTTTCCAAGCACAAGATACATATCACAATACTCCCCAAAAAAATACATGACAGAATCTAATTTTGAAGTTAAACTGTCAATCATAAGATGTGATGTTAACAGATAATGCCTATGTTCCGTAATTTACTGTCAGTACTATCGGTACTGAAAACGCATTCCGAAATCCACTTTCAGTTACTGAGCTCAGTGGTAAATACTACCCTTTTATAAATGTACGGCAGATTAATTTTACTGAAACAACTGGGGACAGAGAGGTGCTGTGGCTCCAGTAAAACACATAACCAAACTTTTAAACAAAAAATAGCTGTCAAATAAAGTGAAGGATATAAATTATATCATATAATGGTATTTGGTGAATACCTATAGGACTAACTATTTCAATATTTATTGATAAAATATTACTTGAAAGTACAAGCAGCAGTGACGAAGGCAGGTCGGCGGGGAGTACGCATACGAAGACCCAGAATATGAAACTACCTACTATAGTACTACCTAGAAAATGTTATATATGTGTATTCAGCGGACGAATTTAAGAGTAATTTTTGGTATTTGGCTTATTGTTGTGGTATCAGTGAAATTTTATATTTCCTATTCTTATATAAATTTTTCGACGCGGACGACGATAACATTAAATTTTCCATATTTCTCTGCCATAAACCGAACATTATATTTCTTATAACTGTTATATTTATTTTTTATATATGTTCTCTGCTGTGCCAAAAGTAAAGTTTGTCAATTGTCAGTAAATCACAAATCATAACCTTGCGTAACCATTGTCACTTTCTGCTGCTACTGAGGCGCGTTCCAATTTCACTGTGCGTCAGTACTGAATAAATTACGGAACGGTCCTTTTCCGCTACTGACAGTAAAATTACTGACAGTAATGGCAGTAAATTACGGAACACAGCCAATATAATATACTAACCAATAAATTGTTGTGATAATCAATTGTTGGGAGTCCCAACTTGGGACATGTTGCCAAACGCATGCCTATTAAAAATCCATTCACGTTCAGTATCCCACACAAACTGTTTTTTTATTAGCTTTGCTACAATGACGCGTTTGTTTTTTTATAAACTGATCGAAAAAAGTTAAGGATATTGTGAATTCTCTGAGAAAAAAATAGTTTTCAAAAAAAATTGTATAACGTACATTTACTGTCATCTCTTTTAGAAATAAAACACATTTGTTGAACTGAAAAAATTCTTTAATTAAAATTTACGGGCAACTTTTCTCTTACAATGTAACAAAACAGATAGGTAATTATAAAAGAGAAAAAATGATTAATAGCGTGTAATTCCACCTCTGTTGGCTATTACTGCTTCAACTCGGCGAGGCATGCTTAAAATTAAACGATCCAACTCATTTTGATCCAATGAATCCCATAAATATGGAAGAACTTGCCTCAACGACCTTACGTCCTGAACAGGAGGTTGATGGGCAATTAGTGCCCTTCCGAGCATTGCGCCTAGCAACACACAAACAAAACTAAACTGTACAAAAAACTACATTTTTTGTGATAAAATGCTTTTTATCTGTTTGGGTAGAATTTTATATGTTTGCAGGCAATATTTTCTTAAACATAAACGTCATAGGTAATAATAGCTATACCACATTTTTTCTAGACTGCACGTTCCTCAGCCAGGACCTTTTCGCTGCCAATAGAGTTCGTATTACCCCTAGGGCGGTTTTAAATCGATTAAATAAAGCAGGTTTACATTGATATAGGCCTATAGGACGCCCTTCATTGATTGCAGTCCCTAGACCTCAACGTTTGCTTTGGTATAATGAAAGAGCCAACTGGATGAGTGGTATACTGTGATGTTCAGCGATGAAAGCCGCTTTTGTCTTCGTGCTGACAGAATTACAGTTTGTGTCTGGGGACCAATAAATTCAAGAGTTAATGACCGGTATGTTCAAGAAGTGAAGGTACTATGACAGGTGAAATTTATGCTCGCGACATCATTGATAACATTGTGGATGATTATCGTTGGAATTTGGAGCCCAATTTCAGATTTCTGAATGATAACGCTCGCCCGCATAGAGCCAGGGTAGTACAAGAACAGCTAGTATTCCATGAAATTAATCATTTGCCATTACCCCCGCTCTCTCCAGATTTAAACTGCATCGAGCATGGTTGGGACATGCTCGGAAGGGCACCAATTGCCCATCAACCTCCTGTTCAGGACGTAAGGTCGTTGAGGCGAGTTCTTCCATATTTATGGGACACCTTGGATCAAAATGACTTGGATCGTTTAATTTTAAGTATGCCTCGCAGAGTTGAAGCAGTAATAGCCAACAGAGGTGGAATTACACGCTATTAATCATTTTTTTCTTTTTTATAATGATCTGTTTTGTTACATTGTAAGAGAAAAGTTGCCCGTAAATTTTAATTAAAGAATTTTTTCAGTTAAACAAATGTGTTTTATTTCTAAAAGAGATGACAGTAAATGTACGTTATACAAATTTTTTTGAAAACTATTTTTTTCTTAGAGAATTAACAATATCCTTAACTTTTTTCGATCAGTTTATTTTAAGTTGATATCTGATTCCATTTCAAATTAAATGACATCCATAAAAACTGTCAGAATATTTTCCGATTGCGATTCAAAAAATAAAACTTAAATTTAAGCGGCCTAGTATTCCGAAAGAAAAAAACGCATCATTCACCAAGCTTTCCATAAAATTCTGGAAAACATGGACAAATCTTATCAAAGAAAAGTTTAATTTTATAGATGACCTAACCTCAAATTCAAAGACTGGATCGCACACCGCAGAAAATTAAAGAATGCAACGGTAACCAGAATCTAGTTTGGGCTACCGGACGTAAATTGATATTAAGATAAAACATGAATTCCTAACATTATGTACATCAGGCCTAATGCATATAATATGACTTAAAACTTTTGAGTAAGGAAGAGAGGGAAGCGTAATTAGAACGGTTAAAATGTGAGAAATGTGATGCAAAAATGGCGTCGAATTAAATAATTTAATTACATTTGTACGTTATGTCAAAGGAAAAACGTCAAAACTAGGACTCCCCAGAGCCAAGCTGTATTAAGTCCACTTTTTTAAATCATGTTAGACATTTTTTGGGATTTCAAAAAAGTGGACTTAATTGCTCTGGGGTACAGATATAAGGGTCGCCCTCGGCGGTGCAGTAGTCAGCACTGCGGGCTA